GGGGAAGGAGAGTGGGTGGGGGGGGAGACAGAGAGAGGGGGATGGGGAGGGCGGGGAAGGGAAGGGGTGGGGCAGGAGAGGTAGGAAATAAGAGGAAGGGGTGGGGGCTCAGGCTTGTCAACCCTGGAAACCAGAGTCAACAGGTCAAATTTCTCCCCACCCCGCCCTTCCCCGTAACTGAAGTGCTCCCCAGGGGCCAGAGAAAGGGGAGGGGGCAGGCGGGTAGCTCAGCCCAGAGCTCCCCGACCACACTAGGTCCTCTTGATCAGTGCCTGGAGGCTCTGGCTGAACTTGCCCTGGGGCCCTGTGCCCACCCAGCCCTGAGGCCCCCTGACAACATCCGCTGTGCTCAGCTCAGTGGCTCTGGGCCTGGAAATATGCTGGCAGGTGATGGACACAGAAGCCGGCAGGCCAAGGTGCTCCTGGTGCTTGGACTCAATGACACCTCACTAGTTTTAACTGGCCACCTTCTGGGATAGAGACAGGACTGCCCCACTTCTTCAGGTGGGGCTGGCCAGTCAGTCCCCCAGAAATCCCTCTTCCTTCTGGCTCTGCCACCAACCCTACCACCCCACACCCCCCAAGGGCTCCCAGGTGCAAGCCAGAGGGGCAGACAGAGGGGGCTGGAGAGACCTGAACAGTCCTAAGAAAGAGACAACTGAGTTTCCACGACAAACCCGCGGCCAAGCTGACCCGAGGCACCGAGACAAGGCTCGCTCCTCAGGTCAGGAGCCGAAACCCCTTCTCAGGGTCACTGGGCATGACAGACCACCTCCAGGGCACTGCCCAGGGGGAGACCCCACCTGCGCCTGCAGCCTGTCCCTGAAGCTGCAGGATCCCATTGCCGCCACCATGGAAACACTTTTGCAAACCCCCAAGACCAGACCACCCACCCCGAGGGCCAGTGTTCTGCTCCCCCTGTCCAGTAGTGGCAGCCCTTAGGGGCACCCAATTCCAAATTCGGGGCTCCTGGAGACATACCAACAACAGTGGATGGAAGGAGAAAACCAGTCCCCCTGAGCCTCTGAGCCCGGGGGCAGTGGCCATGGGATCCTGCAGCTGCACCTAGAAGCCTGGCCACCTGGGAGTAGCCCCTCCACCCCAGCAGGGCTGCCTGATGGCTGCAGGCAAGTGTCACTACTCCTAGCCACTGAACCTTGTGGGGCACCTGCTCAGCCCACTTCATAGCAAGGCAGGTGGAGTCCAGGCACCCTACGGGCACACAGGTCTCAGCTGTGCAGACGAGTCTCCGAAACCTCCTGTCCTCTGCCAGGGCACAACCACCGGCCAGCCAGGCGACGTGCGGGGCCTTCACCTGGATCTCTAGCCTCTTCCTAAACGAGACTTCTGGCCGGGAAACCGGGGGAAAGTTTGGAAAACGTTCAGTTTAACAAACCTGCCAGAAGTTTTCACAATTCGATGAAAACTTTTCGTTCTTAACGTCCCAGCCAACTTTCCAGTGAAAATACCGGCAACGGTGACCAGGGCTGCGGAGCGTCCGCGTCCCGGAGAACGCAGTCGCCAGCGTCGGAACCGGGCCGGGAGACCCCACCCCGCCCTGCCCGCGACGCCCCGCGGTGACACTCGAGGCTGTCCGCGGCGCCCGCCTCCCGCGACCCCCGGCGCCCGCGACCCCCCGGC